CTCAATCATGCCACAAATTTCAGAACAACAGATCCACCCCATAACCATCAGTGACCATGCACCAATTTCAATTACTTGGAACTACTCAAACCAATTTAAACTAACCTCTAGATGGCGCTTTAACATTTCATTACTGCAGGACCCCGACTTCGACAACTTCATAAAGAGAGAGTGGGCATCCTTTGTGGAGATCAATGATACCCCGGGGACCTCGCCCTCCCTCCTGTGGCAGACAGGGAAGGCGGTCCTCACCGGCCGAATTATTGCTTTCTCCGCCAACAAATCCAAAAAAGAAAGAGAACTGGAACAAAAGCTAGAACATGAGATAAAGCTACTAGAACAAACCAATATGATAAACACAAATGACGATCTATGCAAAGAAATAAGACAACTAAAACTTAAATTAAATGAAATAATAAATAAAAAAACTCAATTTCTTATCCATAGACTTAGACAGGAGCATTTCGAACATGGCAACAAATCAGGAAAATATTTGGCAAACCAAATCAAACTAAACAAAGAAAAAAGCCTAATACCCACAATTCAGAACTCAGCAGGGAAGCCTACTACATCTCATAAAGAAATAAATACAATTTTTGAAAGTTACTATAGGGAACTATACTCCACCAAAGAACCAAACCTGGACAACATTCACCACTTTTTGAACGAATTCAACTTACCCACCCTCACCCCCACCCAAATAGCAACATTAAATAAACCAATAACAGAACTCGAATTAAGCATAGCCCTCACATCCATGTCTAACAACAAATCTCCCGGTCCAGACGGCTTCCCTGCTGAGTTCTATAAACATTTCTGGCCAATACTTTCACCATTATTCAGCCGTATGCTTCAGGAATCAGAGCAACTCTCCAAACTTCCCACTCACATGAACTCAGCCACCATTTCACTAATCCTTAAACCCAATAAAGACCCAACACTCCCATCAAGCTACAGACCCATCTCACTAATCAACGTGGACACTAAAATTTTATCCAAAACACTTGCCCACCGACTAGAAAAAGTAATCCCTACAATCATCCATCCCGATCAAACAGGTTTTATCAAAGGCAGACACGCATCCACCAACACCCGGAGACTCTACAATCTAATTCACTGGTCATCATCACATTACGACAAATCCATCATAGCTACTTTAGACGCAGAGAAGGCCTTTGACAGGGTGGACTGGACTTTCCTGTTTGCCACAATGGAGAGGTTTGGTTTCCGGGGCTCATTCATCAATTGGTTAAAGATTCTATATACTTCACCTACAGCCACTGTCATCACCAATGGTCAAACATCACGTCACTTCACTCTACACCGAGGAAACCGCCAAGGATGCCCACTCTCTCCACTTCTATTCCTACTATTCATAGAACCTCTCGCAGCAGCAGTCCGTCAAAATAACCAGATCAAAGGATTCCAAACACAAACCATAGAACACAAAATCAGCCTCTATGCAGACGACATTCTCCTCTTTCTACAAAATCCCACATCCTCACTACGCCATACAATAAACCTAATTGAATCATTCTCCAAAGTCTCACAATATTCAATCAACTGGAACAAATCATTTATACTTCCCCTACATCCAAACAGCTGGGATGTGGCAGCCACAGCACCCCCAATCCCACTCTCTACTCACCACATCACCTACCTGGGAATAAAGGTTTCCCCCAGACTGTCAGAGCTGTTTTCTCTTAATTTCACTCCACTAATCAAACAAATAGAAGATGATCTCCAACGTTGGATGAACCTCCCAGTCTCACTCACAGGCAGAATAGCAATAATAAAAATGTCAATCCTCCCCAAAATCAATTACCTCTTTTCAATGACCCCAGTACAACCAACCTTGACCTGGTTCAAATCCCTCAACACAACTATTAACAAATTTTACTGGAAAAACAAACCCCCAAGAATCAAACTCGCCACACTACAGAAACCAAAGCTTCAGGGCGGACTCAACGCACCAAACTTCCAACATTACTCATTATCAGCCCACCTACAGTACATACACAAATGGATCCACCCAAACACAGCAGATACAATTTGGACAGACATCGAACAAACAATATGCAAACACATCAAACTCTCAGACCTACCCTTTTTAAACTGCACTACTAAAAAAAATCCCCTTTTCAAAGCTCCAACAATAGCAGCAGCTCTGGCAGCCTGGTGGAAACTACACCAACTACTAAATGCACCACTCTTTCCTTCCATACACACACCTATCTGGCACAACCCTGAATTCACAATCAACAACAAACCTCTTTACTTTCACTCTTGGGTAGAAAAGGGAATAAATCACCTTGGTCACATAATCTCAAACGGAACATTTTCACCACTCCCACACTTGGTCCAGGGGTATGGCATCAGGAGCAATTGCTTCCTTGAATACTATCAAATCAAATCAGCAATTCAACCCAAAATCAATAACCGCTCTCCAATAAACTTGGAACCACATGATTCAATTGAATCTTTTTTAAATATCTCCACAAAGAAACTAAACTCAAAAATATACAAACTATTCAGAAAAGCAGATCAAACACAATCTCTTCCAACAGAAAAATGGCAACAGGATATAGCAGTTGCTCCTGATGCCAACTTCTGGACCCAAATCTGCAAAAACATATATTCAATGACCAAAAATTCCAATCTCCAACTCATTCAATATAAAATCCTTCACAGAACCCACTACACCGGACACAAACTCGCCAAAATGGGATTCACAACAGACACTTGTACACAATGCACTCAAGGATCTCAGGACAACTACATTCACGCTCTCTGGCACTGCACACCTGTCCAAACATTCTGGGAAACAGTCACCAACTCACTCAGCACACTATTTGGCTGCCACATCCCAATGTCCCCTTCCCTCTGTCTACTAGGAGACACATCCACCATCAAACTCAACCAGCACAGCACACAACACCTTCTCTTGTCGCTAGCCATCGCCAAAAAAGTAATCCTCATAAACTGGAAAACAAAGGCCAACATACACATTGCCATTTGGAAAAACCTTATTGTAGACTACATTTCATTACACAACACATCCATGAACCCAGACAACACACCCTCCGCACTGACCGCCCTCTTGCATACTTAAAAAGAAAGATAAATAAATAAAATATAGATAAATGAAGAATAAAAAATAAATAGAATATTAACAATATTAAAATAATAATTACTAAAAACAAATAAATACATAATTGTGTTTATGACTGTGAAAACATGTACCCCCATGCCATTATTTATGTCTATATGTATAAGCTAGCTTGTATTCATGTGTATATACACACACACAAATAATAGGAAAAAATAATAATATATAATTATAAACAAATGAATAAAATACATTGTGTAGGAGGCACATTTAACATACAACTTATCACCGCTAGAAAATATTTAGGATTGGGGCAGTGGGGAGATGGGTCTGTTGTGAGGTTCCCCCTCATAGCGGACTCATTTATCCCCATCTTTTTAATGCACTACACAGAATAGTTCAGCTCAATAGCCAACATTTGTTCAGTTGTTAGGACAGCTGGGTGAGAGTTTATTGGAGGGGAACAACCAGCCTCACCAATGGACCCACTTCACACCCTGGCTCTTTTTAATGCACCTCACTATGTAGGGGAAACACCATACATCATCAATAATATCAATAATAACATCAAACAATAGCCAATTTTAAAATATAATATGTTTCGTGTGCCTCCATTAAGTTCCAACATTATATGATGTTGGAACTTGTAATAATCTGGAAAAAATCGATTGTAATATGTTTGTATAGTATGTGTGTGGGTGTATATGCATGACTGTGCGGGTATGTACAGTATGTGGGTGTACATGTGTATGTGTATATATATATATTTGTATATATATGTGTATGCATGTGTATGCATATGTATATATATGTGTATTGTATATATGTATGTGTGTGTGTGTGTATGTGTATGTATGTGTATATATGTCTATATAGATGTGTATATATGTGTGTATGTGTATGTATGTATATGTATGTATGTATGGGTGGGTATACATGTATATATCTATTTTATAAATAGGTTGACAGTTATCTATTATTATTAATAATAATTATGTGTGTATATGTATGCATCTTAATTCTCTAAGAGGCTAATGATTTGATATAGTTGAATCTCCTTTCTGTTGTTATTGTTACTGTTGTCCTGCTGTTATTGTGACTCGTTAATTGATTAGTTTATTGATGTACTTATATCATTATTTTATCTTTATTATTATTACCATTATTATTATTATTATTATTACTGTTGTTGGTGTTATTATTATTATTATTATTATTTTTTTTTATTTATTATTTATTTATTCTTGTAGTCCGTTGGTAAATGGTCTTACTGTATACCGTCTATCACTGTATTACATCTTATATATCTGTCACTCTTACCCCCCATTTAGGTTAATAACCCCGCCGCGCGTGCACACACCCACACCCACACCCACACACACACAGCCACACCCACACACCCACACACACACCCACACACACACAGGTATAGTTATATATTTCTTTAAGTCCTCTCTATAACTAATATTAACATTGTTTGTATTGCTTGCTTATTGACTGTCCCTATGTATATGTTCACCTGGTGTGTAAATAAAAACAAAAAAAAAACAAAAAAAAATAGAGTAACAGCAATGCAAAAGAGGCACTGTATATGGTATGTCACAAATGAGAATAATTTTGTCTTTGGAATAATCCATGTCTCTACCAGGCTGAGGAGGTGCAGATGTGTATGTAATAAGTAATAACATTCCTTGCAGGACAAATGCAGTCAAAACTACCAGCCATTGTCCGTGATATCAAATCCACATCCTGTGCAGTGAGGGGTAGTGAGCAGATATTTTAAAGATAAGGACAATTTGAACGGAGCGCACCACAAAACAGGCCAAGCAAACTGTGAAACACAGCACAAATGGTAAATATCTGAATATACAAGAGACTGTAGTAGGTTTACCAAAGTAGAAAAACACACTGATGCTGCAGAGACTGAGGCAGCCCAGAATCAGGAAGCACATGGGTCCACCTGCAGATCTCACCACAGGAGTGTTGTAGTTCAGACCAAAGAGCAGAGCAGTGAGGAGAGAGACGACCAGCAAAACCCCAGTCCCAACCATGATCACTATGGCAAAGACATCCTCAAATGGGACAAACTCCACTGAGCGCTGGTTACATGAGGTGCTGGCTTCAGGCGACCACTCAGTCTCCTCACAGGCCAGACACGTGTATGGGTCCACTGTAAATCACAAAATCTAGTGAATATGAAACAGTACACTCTGCACCGTCAGCTTCCACCCAAGAGATTCTGGTAATAGAGCAAAATAAAGATTGAACATGATACAACTTGTGCCTTTACTTAGTCTCAACACCAAAGCATAAAAACACAATAAAAACAATCGATCATAATGTACCTGATTGGTTAACGTAGTAGTTTCTTTGACATTTGATACATGTGTAACAGCATTTGTGATTCCCCTCCACACTTCTCCGATGTCCGTCCAGGCACTCAGGCGAGCACAGTGATGAGGGAACCTGCAGATGATCAAAACAAAACACCACAATGGGGAAATGCTTCAACACCAAAGTGGCACTGTGGCAGTGGAAGCACAACCATCAAGAGGTTTGACTGTGCGGTTTATTTTTCATGGGTTCCTTCCTACCCCCAAGAGCACGCACAATGGATAAAATGTATTACTGTGGGCCATTTTAAAAGCAGCAGCAGTAGCCTATAGCTGCCTGTACAAGCCTCTGGTAGCGACCCGATACCAGAATCAGTCTCAGTGCATCCCTAATCTTTATGTTTTGGGAAGTATTCAGACAAAATATGAATGAATAATTTCCGAGACAATGTACATTCTCCGGAGATATCATAATTGTTGATGTGTTATTTATTTTACATAGATATTAAAGGAGCATTACGTAAAATTCTAGCCACAAGTGATAATTCAACCTGCACTCTCCCTGTCTCAGGTTGCCAGATATGACGACGAAACCAGCTGGGACCAAAACATCTGAATAGACAAGAGTTTTTCCAACAACAAATCTATAACCAACACTTTTTCACAAAGGCCCCGATAGAAATCCTTGTTTTATTCCTTGTTTTGGCATGAATGATTTGAGAATCATAACGAGACCTTTTTAGTTCCACGGCCACATGTTACTTTACCAGTGAGATCAGCTCAACGTGGTGAGTTCTGGCAACCCGGATCACAGACTTTGTGATTGGTAAAAAAAATGGCTATCTGGTGGAGGGCAGGAGATCAAAATGAAAGCAATAACGAGATTTAGGGGCTGTAAAACTAATTTTTGAATTTCTCTGCTGAACTTTTTAAAATGTATTATTATTGGAAAAGACCATGGTTTAGGCCTTTTGACAGATTAGGCCATTTACAGATGACTTGACTTGAAAATATTACATATTTCTACTTTAAGTGTAATTTATAGAGTGAAAAACACATAAATAGAATAGAAAAAACATACTTGACTATTGTTGTGCCAGTCAACTTTGAATTCATCAACGTAAAAACTCGATGGCGACTGAAATGTATGGACTCCAACAATCTCTGCCTCTCCACTGCTGTTCCATGTGATAATATTAAAGTGTCCAAACCTCAGGTCTCCATTTTGATCAAATTTAATGGTGTGGTTCAGAATCAAGAACACTATTCTCTTCAGCTCAGAAAGGACCTAGAGAAAGACAACATATAAACCTCAAAACACTATAAACATATTTGGTATTTTTTAATGTTGACGTAAAAAAACGTTTCACTTTTTTGGTTTTACCTTTTATACTCTCACATACAATAAAAAGTGTCACTTTTAAATCTCAAAATTATGTAAGCGTGCATTTTAGACCACCCTGACCGCTTTTGACCGTTTTAGAGAGAGATTTCTTTTCTGGTGTTTGACATTCACAGGTCATCTTGTGTCTCGTATTCAATTTAGTGCGGATTTTTGTGCAGAATAAGTTTCCACGGGGGCTGATCATTTCGCATTTGTACATTGTGCTGCTTAATTGTGGCTATGCCATATAATCTTTTAAGTCTGCGTTTTCCCAGTATTTGTTTTTGAAGTCTCCATGCCACCGTCCAGTTGGAGCCATGGTAACCAAAGTGATTACCTTCATTCATAATCTCTGTTCAGAATTCTACTTTGGTTTGCACAATCTCCTCATCGACATCTGAACTAGAGTTTCGCTTTTCAGCCCAAGCCCGAGCAGGCCCGAGGCCCGACCTGAGTTCGGGCCGGGCTCGGGCCTCATTTGGCACTCAGCTGTCGGGTTCGTGCCGGGCTCGGGCTTCTTTTTTTAAATATATCTTTCTTTTTTATTATTATTATAATTATTTTTAAATGATTTTTATACATAATGATATGCATATATATATATAAAAATTGTCCACTCACCTTTGGCCCTCCGCGGGCGGTTATCCCTCTCTAAGCTCGGGTCCTCTACCAGAGGCCAGGGAGCTTGAGGGTTCTGCGCAGTATCTTTGCTGTTCCTAGCACTGCACATTTCTGGACCGAGATGTCCGAGGTTGTTCCGGGGATCCGCTGTAACCACTCATCTAGCTTCGGGGTCACTGCCCCGAGTGCACCGATCACCACGGGCACTACTGTCACCTTTACCCTCCAGGCCCTCTCCAGCTCCTCTCTGAGACCTTGGTATTTCTCAAGCTTTTCATGTTCTTTTTTCCGGATGTTACCATCGCTTGGAATTGCCACGTCCACCACCACGGCTGTCCTCTGCCCTTTGTCTACCACCACAATGTCAGGTTGGTTCGCCATTACCATTCGGTCGGTCTGTATCTGGAAGTCCCACAGGATCTTCGCACGCTCATTCTATATATATAAATATATATATATATATATATATATATATATATATATATATATATATATATATATATATATATATATTAATAACAATGTCCGTTGATTGACAACAAGTTATTAAAAAAGGTGAATTTATTAATGACACCGTAACCAGCGTGTCCTACAGCAGCAGCGAGCCGTGAACGCATCATTCCCGTGTCTCCTGCTGCATGCTGTGGTCAACAGCAAACAGGAACAATAGTAGAAATGGATTAAGTGGAGACAAAACAAATTCAAAAGTGGAGACTAAACTTGCAATTGGAAGGTGAGTGCGTACAACAAGGAAATCAGATGTGTCGGGTTCTGTCGGGCTCGGGCCTGTTATACAGCGTTCATTGGTCGGGCTTATACGGGCTCGGGCTTAACATTAGCGGGCTCGGGACGGGTCGGGCTTCATTTTTCAGGCCCGAACGAAACTCTAATCTGAACTACATTCTCACCATATGTGGATATGCAGTGATGCTCTTGCTGCACTTGTCGTCTCCACATTGCAGCGTGTTGTGTAGGGCGTGAGCGATGGCATACACTGCTGCGTACACAGGGAAAGTGAAGGCATTTGCAGCCTTCAAAATATCCTCTGGATGCAGCTCACTACAGTTGCAAAACTGGTTACAAAACTCTCCAGGTTGACTATTAATTTGTAATTTTCTGATGAAGTCATCAAAACCAGGTATGGTAATCTCTGGCTCTGCAATCCCCAGCACTGTTCCGATACTTTTGATACCCGGCATTTTGGGAAGGTCTTTATTTAGTGCCCAAGCATCCACAGCTATCCATGTCTTGGAGAAATTCATTTCTATAGCGGATGGAATGAGTTTTTCTACTGTCCATTCAGGAGCAAAAACGATAATCACTTGTACGTTTAGATTTTCTATATGCTTAAAAATGTCTGCGTAATTTGTGTTTTTATCCAGTTTTTTGGTGTAGGCCAGGCAGATGTCTGTGTCTTGAATCATTTTGATAAATACAGTGAAACCGTCATTGCCATAATCATTGTCAATGTGGAGGAAGGCCACCCAATGCCATTTGAAGTACTGCAAAATGTGGACTATAACATCAACCACATCTTTATTAGGATGTAGGGTAGGGAGAAATGAGGGGAATAAGTGTTTTAGTGAAAATATTGAACTTTGTGCTCCGTAACTGATCTGAAAAAGAGACGAGACATGCATTAGACGCTCAATGGTACCAAATTACAAATAATATAAATGTAATGTCCTGAAAACGATAGAAGCACTCGTTGAACAACATCAGGGTTGGGCTTGTGCTGCCAAGGGGACTCATTAAAGCAGTGTGTAGCTCTATGTTTTATATGTCAACTTCATTCGTCGCGTTTCCATCGCAGGAGTTCCTGGAACTGTTTCTCAGTGGCCATGTCTCCACTGCAGAGCAGGACCCCTCGGCAACGTCATGAGTTTCAATCGCCGCATAATCAATATTTATTTATTTTATGGTCGGAACCGCTCCAGTTGTTGTGGTTTTTGAATTTGTTATTGTTCGTTTAAAAAAAAAACTTTTCACCCCATTGTTTCTGAGTGTGATTAATCCCCAGTGCTTGGATGAGCGCTGATATATCCCCGCCTCAAATTTAGAAGGCAATTGCCGGCACCTCATCATCCGTCCATTTATCGTACGCCTTGTTGTAGTTATTTGTTGTTTCTAGTGGTGTCTGCTAGGCTAATACTGCTAGGCTAATACTACTGCGCTAAAGCTGCTGGATTTTAACCGGTTTAACTGCCGGGTTAACCTCAAGCCCCACCCAGGAGCTATTTAGGGCCGAACGGAGTACCTAGCAGGAGGTACTTTGTTGGTTACTGTAAAAGTTCTTGTAAATGGCCCTGCGGGGGAGGTTCCTGCAGTGGAGACACACACCAACAAGGCTGTCCCTGGAAAATCACCCCAACGTTTCTGCGGTGGAAACGCAACTTTTCAAAATAATCTATTTTAATATCTGTTTTTGTTTTATTCAAAAGGGTTCGTCCGTATACAAAATACACTAAATAAATGAGAAAAGATTATCAAACTTCAATGAAAAATTTACCATTGGAATAAGTTGTCTCATGAACATGGGCGCCACAGTTCTGGATTCAGGGCTTGTAAAGGTACCAACCACTGAAATGACTTTGGAGAAGTTGAGGCGGGTTATGTCCCAAGGGTTGAAGGATTTTTTCCCCCAGAGAAGGTTGAAAATGCCTGGAAAGTTCTGGATGTCTGAGCAGTGGTCAAAGATATTATAGCCCAAAGTGACACCGGGCAGGAGGCCACTGGAGTTGTTGATCTCTTCAATGGCAAATTTCATCAACTGGAACCGGCGATAACTGGACACGTAAAATTTCTTACTGGGAAAAAAATACAGCGATGATGACTTTATAGAAGAGTTTTAACGAGACAACAATGTGTGGATATCAGTACCACATTGCTGATCAGACTTAGATAATTTAAAGAAGTTCTGTACTTATAATTCTGATTAGTGCAAGATGGTACAATCCTTACGGTATGATGAGTGAAACACAGTAGAGTAAACTCAACATCACAATAGAGATTAAGCTCAATTGCGAGTGGGATGTGGATAAAGCGAGCCACTTGTCAAACTATTTAGACATTTTAATCATTTGCGTTAATTAATCAGGATCTGTTATGATGTCAATTATCTTCTTGTATCTAATATTTAACAAAAATACATTTCTCTCACCTAGAGCACTCTAGGGCTTCTGGTGTGAAATATTGTTGGGGCTGATCGTCCTCCAATTATATAATCTCCATCTTTGCGGAATTCAGACGTCGCAACACAGCCTCCTCCAAAGAATATACACTCAAGACACAAGAGCAGGGCATATCGCTCCATTATGGGCTCTTTAGTTGAGTGTGTGGGAAGAGGAAATGTTCCAATACTGTTACCAACATTATTTTCATGTCCAACGGTGCATATAAAATTAGCCATTGGGAAAATACACCAAAAATATGCAAAACACCATGACACACAGACAGGATCGTGAAAAGTCTCTTGTATAGTTTGTGTTTAATACAGTGGTGCAAAAATGTATTTGGTCAGCCACCGATAGTGCAAGTTCTCCCACTTAAAATAATGACAGAGGTCTGTAATTTTCTTCATAGGTACACTTCAACTGTGAGAGACAGAATGTGAAAAAAAAATCCAGGAATTCACATTGTAAGATTATTAAAGAATTTATTGGTAGATTATGGTGGAAAATAAGTATTTGGTCACTTCAAACAAGGAAGATCTGTGGCTCTCACAGACCTGTAACTTCTTCTTTAAGAAGCTCTTCTGTCCTCCACTCGTTACCTGTATTAATGGCACTTGTTTGAACTCGTTATCTATATAAAAGACACCTGTCCACAGCCTCAAACAGTCAGACTCAAAACTCCACTATGGCCAAGACCAAAGAGCTGTCGAAGGACACCAGGAAAAGAATTGTAGACCTGCACCAGACTGGGAAGAGTGAATCTACAATAGGCAAGCAGCTTGGTGTGAACAAATCAACTGTGGGAGCAATCATCAGAAAATGGAAGACATACAAGACCACTGATAATCTCCCTCAATCTGGGGCTCCACGCAAGATCTCATCCCGTGGGGTCAAAATTATCATGAGAACGGTGATCAAAAATTCCAGAACCACACGGGGGGACCTGGTGAATGACCTGCAGAGAGCTGGGACCAAAGTAACAAAGGGTATCCTCAGTAACACACTACAACGACAGGGAATCAAATCCTGCAGTGCCAGACGTGTCCCCCTGTTGAAGCCAGTGCATGTCCAGGCCCGTCTGAAGTTTGCCAAAGAGCACATGGATGATACAGCAGAGGATTGGGAGAATGTCATGTGGTCAGATGAAACCAAAGTAGAACTGTATAGCTGTAACTGTAACCTCAGTAGAAGAATACTGGGTTGCATCCCAAGAACAACATACCTACTGTGAAGCATGGGGGTGGAAACGTCATGCTTTGGGGCTGTTTTTCTGCTAAGGGGACAGGACTGATCGGTGTTAAGGAAAGAATGAATTGGGCCATGTATCGTGAGATTTTGAGCCAAAACCTCCTTCCATCAGTGAGAGCTTTGAAGATGAAACGTGGCTGGGTCTTCCAGCATGACAATGATCCCAAACACACCGCCCAGGCAACGAACGAGTGGTTCCGTAAGAAGCATTTGAAAGTCCTGGAGTGTCCTAGCCAGTCTCCAGACCTCAACCCCATTGAAAATCTGTGGAGGGAGTTGAAAGTCCCTCCACACTCTCGAGAAGATCTGCATGGAGGAATGGGCCAAAATACCAGCTACTGTGTGTGCAAACCTGGTAAAGACCTATAGTAATAGTTTGACCTCTGTTATTGCCAACAAAGGTTATATTACAAATTATTATACGGCTCCTCAGAGCAGCAGTAGAACGCTCCATTGATTTGAATGTAATTTCAAAACGTTCTACCGGTCATTATTTTCTATAACGGACCTCTCAAAACAATAATGACCGCTGCCCATGGCAACGCACTCTCTGCTTGTATTTCAAATGCGTGGATAACTCCGCAAGTAGTTCCGGCCACTCCTGAGCTAGCCACGCTCAATCAACACACTTAAATGTTAATCGGAGAATACTTATACATATACATTCTTAACACACGTGCACGGAAATTTTCAGAATTTTCTGGTCTTGTCTTCATGACAAAAATACTATTTCTTTGCGTCAAAAAGCGATCGTGAAAAACCCGGAAGTAGTTCTGGCCGCTCAATAAACGCAAATGCCAATCAATCAACGCAATGAAATGTTTATCGGAGAGTGAATTATACATATCCAGTCTTAATACAAGTGCACGGAAGTTTTCAGAATTTGCCGTTTACGTTTTCATGACAAAAACACTGATGTAATGCGAGAAAAGGCGATCCCGAAAAACCCGGAAGTAGATACCGGCACATTTTAAGATACCGGCACATTTTCGGACACATTTGCAGAGGATCGATTTAGGTTAGGTTTATGTATGGGTCACTCACCGCTGATGTTCAGAATTCTTTGTTCAGTTTTCATGCAGTTCCAGAGAGTTCTAGTTTGGAAGTTGCCAGCCTAACTGTTGCTAGCATAGCCACACTGCCTGCCCGCGGTTGCCGAGCAACGGGTTAAGTTAAAATAAGTACCTTCAGGGCGGAAGCAGACCCCTCCGCCCCCTGCGCGTCGGGGTCCGCTTCGCCCTGTCGGTACTTATTTTCCGATAATGACCTGTATGCTATACATTATCCCTTACGTATTGAGTTGAATTTTATACTTATTTTCCACAATAATTCAGAAATAAATTCTTTAAAAATCCTACAATGTGAATTCCTGTTTTTTTTTTTTCACATTCTGTCTCTCACAGTTGAAGTGTACCTATGATGAAAATTACAGACCTCTGTCATTATTTTAAGTGGGAGAACTAAATACTTTTTTGCCCCACTGTATATGCATTCAAGTTATGTAGGATCTCAATTAAAGTAAACAACACATGTTCCACCCTCCTCAAACCCTCTGGCATACTTTTCAGAATGTCACACTTGGGACACCTTGGGATGTAAAATGAAATGAGGGTCTGTGTTTTTAGCTGTATAGTCCTTCATTGGGAAATTTGTCTGCATTTGACCCATCCTGACCTGTAGATACCCGCTTAAGCTCGCCCACCACACAAAACAGACAACGCTAAGTAAGAATTTCATCAACAGTTTTGTTTTCCTCTCTGAGGTAACTATTGTTGTGATTTAGGAGAAAAATTAAGAGAAAGGTACACATTTGTCTCCCTGAACAATGGTTAAAAGTAAGAGTTTTTTATGTTGAAGCCAAGCCCCGGCGATCCAAGATGGCGCCCTATTCAAATGAATGGTTGCGCTCAGTGGCGCTTTGTGACGGCATGGGGGCTGAAAGATTAGCGGAAGTCGCATGAAACTCGCAAAGATCTATGGGAAACTCGCCTGTATTTGGGCATCGTCTGGTCCTCCCGGTTCTGCGCAGTGGATGATCTCCCATAATGCGTTGCGCCAAACACGCGTGTGTGGGTCTCACACCGGGTCTCACGCACGTGCACAGAGGGGCTCGGCCGCGCTCTGACCAATCAGAGCAGTTCATCAGAGCGGGAGTTAGAGCGAGAGCCAGAGGAGCAGAGTTTGTGGCACTAAAGTGTGGATTTAAACAAAACCAAAGGATTTAAGAAGAAAAAAAGTTCAGGATGACAAGGGACACTAAAATCTAAAAATTTCTGGGTAGCCCACGTGAATTTAGTCTGGTTCAGTCTGCAGTACCGCGAGAATCCCCTGAGCACATGAGTTATTCAGCTACAAGCTAGTAATACCCTATCCAGTTAATATAATAGATCCATGGTTGAAGCTCATATATCAGGCATGTATGTACCTTGTTTTTACCTTCCTTTTTTACTTTGGTTATTGTTTTGACTTGTAATGTAATTATGATGTTGTGTAGCGCAAAGGGCCATATTATTGGGTATATTAAACAATAATGCAATCATTTATTTTCTCTTGATTCATGTTACAAATGATGCAGTCAGAACAGATTGTGAAATTATTTTGTTGTTCTTGTATGACACTGTTTCACATTAACATGTTCCAGTTACAGTGATGGGCAGTAAGCTACTAGCTTAACTACATTTCTCAGCAGCTTGACGGTAGCATCACTATTTACAAAACCAAGTAACTTTTCTGTAGCTAAGCTATTTTATTGATCATTTAGCACGGTAGCGCCCTCCAAAGCTATTTTCTCACGTACATTTCGGATGTTCATATATTACAGCATTTTCCCGCAGCCAAAACAAACAAATTAGGAAGACAGAATGCTAATGCACATGCCTTGGTGACGGCGCGCATGCATAAGCAACAGGACGGCAGAAAGCCCAGGAGGCGCGGTCGCGGAGGACTCTCAAACAGTTATTGTGGTCATACCTCCAAAAGTAAGTATTTATATACCGCCTTTTCACTGCAGATCTGAGTTTCAAAGCGGTTTACAAGTGTTATTTTTTTTTGGGCATTTGTCTCTCCACACAGAGATGGGAGCGGGGGCACCAGTACAGGAGGCGCATGCCAGACCTATTGTACATATTTTTAGTGGTAGGGGAAACCGGAGTACCCGGAGGAAACCTACGCAGACACGGGGAGAACATGCAAACTCCACTCAGAAAGGCCCTGGTCCGACCGGGATTCGAACCCAGGACCTTCTTGTTGAGAGGCGAGAGTGCTATCCACTCAGCCACCGTGCCGCCCAAAAGTACAAACTTTAGCCGAGACGAGCAAACAGAAATATGTTTTCAGATGCCTACTT